AAAAGAAAAAGAAAAAGAAATGAAGTATCTAATAGGATAATCAGCTGCAAATGAACTAAAAGATGTAAAGCACTTAGAACAGTGCTTGCTGTACAGCAAGCCCTCAAACTAATCATATGTAAATATAAGCATATCCGTGGGTAGCTTACAAATTACAAAAATGTAAGATAATTCAGAAGTTGGCCGGACAGAGGCAAAGGGCTCCCCACCTTGTGGCAAGCACTCCAGCATGTTAAATTATAACATTGTTGAGTGTAATGGTGTTAAAATAGTTGCGTTGGCCAGGTGCGGTGGCTCACGCCTGTAATCCTAACACTTTGAAAGACCAAGACGGGCGGATCACTTGAGCCCTGTAGTTCGAGAGTTTGAGACCAGTTTGGGCAACGTGACGAACATCTCTACAAAAGTAAAAATAAAAATTAGCCAGGTGTGGTGGTCCCTGCCTGTAGTCCCAGCTACTCAGGGGGCTGAGGCAGGAAGAGCACTTGAGCCCAGGAGATCGAGCCGTGATCACGCCACTGCACTCCAGCCCGGGAAACAGCAAGACCCTGTCTCAAAAATAAACCTTTAGGCCGGGCGTGGTGGCCGACGCTTGTAATTCACGTACTTTGGGAGGCCGAGGCGGGTGGATCTCAGGAGTTCCAAACCAGCCTGGCCAACATGGTGAAACCCTGTCTCTACTAAAAATACAAAAATTAGCCAGGCATGGTGGCACACGCCTGTAATCTCAGTTATGCAGAGGCTGAGATAGGAGAATTGCTTGAACCAGGTGGTGGAGGCTGCAGTAAGCCGAGATCGTACCACTGCAACCCAGCCTGGGAGACAAGAGTGAAACCCCGCCTCCAAAAAATAAAGACTAAATTTGAAGTGCGATTTCTTCCTGTTTTTCCAGTTTTATGAAAAACCCAAAAGGAGGGAAACTAAGGTAGATAATGTTGCCTACCACGCACCCTAAGAGTAAGTAAAGAGAAAAAATAACGAAATTCACATGAGACTGTGAGTAGTTCGCCTTTTCCCGACAACGCACACAATGCGCTTAGGTATATCTCGCGCTGATGTCTATGCAGAGAGGAAAGCCACGTTAAGAAGAGTAGGGAGCCCCAAGGCAAGAGGACAGTGGCTTGTGTGTAGTGAACCCAAATGCGACACCAAGGGACTGCAACAGGATTCTCCTTCGCACTTGAAATGTGACTCCCAGCGAGGCACCTACCCTTGGCGCTCCCTGGGCAGCGCGGCGCGGTCCGGCGCACTAAACAAGGCAATTTGCGCTCGACCGAATCAGGTGCTTCGAACTCCCCCCTGGTGAGCGGCGCGCTAGCCACACATAAAATGGTCAGCGCAGAGGGAGCAAGAGCGCTCTGCCGAGAAGCCCGGCCCAGAGAGGGAGGAGTGCGAGGAGCCGCGGACGGCAGCGGCTGGCCTGACGACCGCCCCGGAACAACGCCCACACCCTGGAGAAGGGCAGGCAGGCGTTCTGGCAGGACTCCCTCAGGCCGCCCCGCCCCACCCCGCCCGGGACGGCGACGAGCCGAGCGGCCAGACCCCAGCCCTGCCGGCCGCCGCCGAGCTCCGCAGCCCAACACCAGAGGCCCCTGCACCACCCCAACCCCTGATCTGCGCCCGGACTCGCCAGGCGCCCGTTGCTCGCGGGCCGGCTTCGATGACGTCAGCCGTGACGCCACGGCGGGGAGGAGCAGGACGGCGCGGGAGGGCGTTTCCGGGGCACGCGCCGGGGGGGGGGCCGCTGACGTCTGCTCAGGTGCGCGCGCCCGCCCGCCCGCGCGGCCCAGTTGGCGGCCCGCACTCCAGGTGGAGGCCGGCGGCGGTGAGGGGCGGCCGGCGGTGAGCAGTCCCCGCGGCGCTGGGCTGCAGCCGGGGTCGCGGCGGGAGGGCGTCTGGGCCTGCGCTCACGTGACGGGCCGGGAGGTTGGGGTGTGGGCGGCGAGCCGGGCGGGCCGGAGCCCGGGAGCCCTAGGCGGACTGTACGGCCCCACCCCTCGCGGGCCTTTCCGTCGCGGCGCGGAACCTTCCCTCCGGCAGGGGCCGGCCCCGCCGCGCACTTCCCGAGCTGCTCACCGCTGACCGGAGTTGTCTCCTCCGCAGGGCCGCGGCCAGAGGGCAAGA